GTTCCCTATTTTGAATTTTTGTCTTATTTACTTCTTTGTAAGGAATTTTCTCTTTCCTTACCGCATACCTTCGTGGTATAATTGCAAGGCCTATTCGACTAGCAGTCGGAAAGTCTGTAACTCAAATCCCAGTGCGGGTACTGTTGGTTTATCTCGTTTACTACATCCAAAATTCTAGCTTGCTATTGACAAATGAGGCCCGAACTAAAATACTGCAGGATAACTCTCTACCATCAGAATTTGGCGAAAGGGACCCTCCTCCTGAGTTGCTCTTTAAGTGAATTTTTCCCTTCCTTAACGCATGCCTTTGTGGTGTTACTGGGAAGCATGTCCAGTTAGCTATCTGGAGGTTTAGAGTTTAAATCCCAGCGAGGGCATTGCTCCTTTTCACGTTTCCTGCTCTAAAAACCTAATAGACTCTGCAACTTCCCTCACCAATTTATCTTACTTGCGAATACTAACTTCCACTCTTACGAACTTTTTATTCATTTTTACCACGTAATTTACGAGAGGTTTATTTACTAAATCTCATTTACCGAAAGTGCTGGCAAATCTGTTGCAGAATCTGTGCTGAAGCCTAATTTTATCAACTCACAGAACTAACAGGAAAGTTACATGTGTATTCACCCAAATAGCTTACACTCTCCTGTCTTTTCCTTTTAACCTTACTTTGAGTATGCCTTTAGTGTATGATGTGATTAAAAAAAATGAAACCTGAAATGGCGGAGGAACTTAAATATTTAACTGTTTTATTAAACTCGACATAAAACTCGCAAACTTAGTAATTCTATTAGAAGGAAAAGTTCTTAAACTAAAGTAACAGATCTACAACAGCGATTTTATATAAATGAATACACATTCCGTTAGAATTACTGCATAATTATCGTGATGTATTTTCTGATTTCGTCTTAGCTATGTAACAGTTAACATTAGCACTTCCTCTTATCAATTTACGCTATATTCAACAAGAAACGAGTGAAGAGAGTTCCTGAAGTGAATTTCCAAGTTAAATTAGCACTTCATACTGAACATTTCTACTGCTAGATTGGTGGTGTTTGGTGTATTTAGTTATGGCAAAGCACACGAGGGCTATCTACCTAAGGGAAGGGATGCTTTCGTGGAGGACTTTCTAAGGGAAACTGGCTCGTATACACGTTACACATGGGGAAAACCACGAAAACGCCCATGCAGCCAGCCCGTTCCCGGGTTTCGAACCTCGGACTGCTAGATTGAGAAACGAGTTAATGAGATTCCTGAAACAAATTTTCAGGTTAAGTAACTCATTATTTAAAATTCAAGGTCTTATCAATAAGATTAAGTGAAAAAATATACATTTACATGCACACTGTGTAGAAGTGCTTCTACAGGATATCGTTAGACGCAAGTATTTTCAGAGAAATAAAATGGCTTGACCATTTTGATTTTGGTATGAATATATTTGTGATGACGCTTTATTAAAATTAAGCATTCAGCATTCGGTGCGCATAATTAACTTAAAAACAAGTATAAATAACAAAAAATTAATAGCTCATTAAAATCTATCTTTGGTGCAGTTTTAGACTCAAATGAAAACATTTTAGACTTTAAATTTTGACTAAATTTCAATAATCTCTTTGAAATTAATAAAATTCTAATTCGTCATCGTAAAAATTGAAAATATTCCTTTTCCGGTTTCATCTGCAGCTGTCATCTCTCAATTAAAGTATCTAAACTTCGATTTAAACTGACGAGTTCCTTTTTGCTGTAATCAGCTTCGTAGTTTTGAAATTTAGAAGAGTATAGTTACAACAGAATTTTCAGGTAGAAGATAGTTGACATTATACTTCATTGTTCTTGACTGCATCCTAAAGATTACGAAATTGTATTTTAAATGAAAAATATTTGCTCAAAATCTCAGCAAACAATTCAGCTCAAAAACTGCACCAGATTTACAATTCCAAGCATTGTAAATAAAAAGTTAGCATAGTAAGCTATTGAGAGAGACAAAATTATATAATATCCAGTTTATCCAGTGCTCCCATTTCAACTTGCTCAATTTGCGCTTGCTAGTTGCTTGCGTCGTAAGTGACGCAATTCCCTGAACTCATTCGAAATACCTGACGAAACGCATTTAAATGTTACGATGGTAGAGAGCGACAGCAAACGCTAGACATTTCAACTGAAGCTCATTTATATCAATTTCTGTATTATGTAGCATAAATCTGAATGCGGTTTTCGACAATTAAAAGATTATCACACATGATTATGATACACAGAAGAAAAGCGCATGAACTTTTAAAATAGGCAAGTTTTTACTTTAGACTGATGTAAGCTTTAGAAAAGCTTTAAAGCATGTCGAGAAAACTTCACCTAGTCTCCGTTCTTGAAGACAATATTATTTTACAAAAACGTATTTTGCACTTTTCTGCCGGAAATGCGTCTCTTTAAGTAGAATATTGTATGTTAGAAACCTGGTCAAAAGTATACCTTTCGACTGCGATAGGAAAAGCTAACGCTTGACCTTTTGATTTTTACGGTAGATTTATAAGACTGCTATCGAAAATTGTTATTTAACGAACTTTAAATCTTAACCTTCGTTGTTGTTTGTGTGTAAGTGTCTGTGTGAGATTTCATTTTATTCTTTTTTTTAAGTAAACTATACAAATAATTTACGAAATAATCTTGTAAAATGTTTCTGTAAGATCAATACACTTTTACTAAGACAAAAGGTCGTCATTCATTTATGCAAAATTTTTCTTCCAAAACTCTTGCATACTGCTATAGAAAGCGTACTTCAGTTCAGCTTTCGACATAATTAGCAAACCTGTGCTAGATTTATATAGTTATTGGGATTTCCTGTATTATTTTATATAATCAGTCAACAATTATGCTAACAGACAAAAGTAATCTGCCTACAAACACAGTGTTGACATTTCTTTTAAGATTTATCATACCAAACATTATTTCTCTTAATAACCAGCATTTCGATTTGCAAAGTGTAACAGGCCTTTTTTTTTTTTTTTTTTTTTTTTTTTATCGTGAAAAGAATACACGTCAGGATCCCAAAGAAAGAAGCATCTCATTCCTATCCTTAAAACACCGAAAATTTTATTTCATCTGACTATGCTATGTTATTTAAAAGCAAGTTATTATATTTAAAAAATTATAATTGAAGAGAAAGTACCAATGATTCATTTTATAATTAAATAAATTTATATTTATATGAGAATCATCCTTCTTTCTTGTTAACATATACACTTATACTGCATTCCAGCGAAAATACTTACATAAACAGCTATATTAAAAAGAAAAGAAAAGAAATTGCAGCAGGCAATAGAACTCGTTCTACATAGCTGCATCTTAATAAAAAAATAACAATAATTAAGTATAAAAAGTTACTAATAAATAACTACAGTTTGTTTGAAGTATTTAAAATAAATTGTGGCGATTATTAGAAACTTATTCCTTTAACCGATAAAATTAATGCATTTTAATAATTTAAAACTCTCAATCTTATTAAAACAAATAAATCTCACCATTAATAGTTACAGGACGGAAAAAGGAAAATAAATTTTTATATGATGATCTCTTGCACTTGAAAATAAATACTTAAGAAATGCATTAAAACTCGCAGACGTCCGCCCATATTTAATTCGGAATAAACCACATGCAAAATAAAAAAAAATAATAAAAAAAAAAACAGAAGCCCAGTGGCAAACTGTAAGAAATAGGGGGCAAAATATGCCCAAAACAAAAATTGAAATTAAATTTAATTCTTTCGATGCATCGTCATCAGGGGTTGGTGCAACGAAATAAATAAATAAATAAAACGGCCTGTTTCTTGCTGCCAAAGATTTAATTTTATTTTCATTTTTGTTTTTGGCATATTTTGCCCCTCTATTTCTCACATTTTCCCATTGTGTTTTTTTTTTTTTTTTTTTTTTTTTTTTTTTTGTTTGTTTGTTTGATTTTTTGGATGTGATTTATTCCGAATTGAACATAGGATGAATTTTAAACACATTTTTTTATTTTGCATTATTATCACCACTTGCTGCCCTTATCAGCAAACAATTATATTAGGTTTTGAACTGCTTTTACTTTGCATTATATACTGTAATAAGATTTTGGGTATGACATAGATGATGAGGATGCTGGAGATGATTCGTGAAAATGGAGATGCAGTTGCGGCCTTATTGCTGTTCCTTTTTTCTAGCATAACATTATTGAAATAAAAACACATACACGTAAAATAGCACAAGAGGCACGTCGATTCTTCCATAGCTATAATAGTATATATATATATATTACAAAATAGTTTTAAAATTTCTAAACTTTCTAAAAACATCAAGCACAATAAAACACAAATGAATAAGAAAGGAACAATTGTTTTTGGAAAGTTTAGAAATTTCTAAAGTGTTTTGTAAATATTACTGCCAGTTAATTAATACTACATTTTTTTTTCGTTAAAATTTATTGAATCACTAAATTTACTTTTAGCTTGGTCGTTTAATTAACTTAAAATTCTTACATGTTTACATATATAGCTAATTTTGTGTACATAATGTTAAGCTCATTGACAGCAAAAAAATATAAGCGTTGAAAAAAAAATGAACATAAGGATGACTTTTAGCTAGAAATTGTAAAAGATCCAAATCAGTTGATGAATTTAAAAAGCTTCCTTTATATCATTCCGTAAAAAGAGCGTGGGTTTCGTCAGAACAAATCGGTAATTTTTTTTGGAGGGAGGGAGAGAGGGAAGATCCTTTTAAATCTTCCTTTCGGAGGGGGGTGGGGGCATTTCTATTATTTAAACGCAGAGACGACCATTCGGGCGATATTTAAAGAGCTCCTGATCAGACCGCCTTATGTACACATTTCCAGAAAAATACGCTACAAGCTTTGCTACAGATCATCTACTCGCGTGACGTGCATTAGACCATCCCGCCTTGATTGCCTCGTTTTGGCGATTTTGAATTCGGTTTTGGCGAGAAGAAGTTCGTTTCTGGCAACCACAGCTATGAGTGAAATTGATGAGGAAATTTAACCTCTGAGGATAGTTTCGCCAGTGTGACCGGTAACATGTGGCAGGTCATATCAACATGAACTGAACTTGGATAGAAATCACGTGTCTTTTATAATATACAGTTTGTTTCCCTTTTGTCGGCAAGAAATATCATTGTCATCTGTTTATCATTTATAATACGAAAATGCGGCGAAGAAAGGTACTGTAAATTTCACTTTTCAGGCTTTATTTTTTATTTAGTTGAATTAGTATTAGCATCAGTATCAGTAATATTTGCTCTGAAACGAATTATTTGGAGACCCGAATTTTTATTTGAAATTTTTTAAAAGAATAGAAGAAAGACTTAATAAGAATTTTTTGTTTAATTATACGTTTTTCCTTTCTTTTCTCCTTCCTCTTTTTTGTTTGTTTTTTAAACTACATTTAATTTTTCGTTTAATTAGAAGCATCTTCTTTCTCCTTTTGCATTTTTTAAAGCTTTTGTATTTATATCATAATATCTTAAAATTAATTTTATGAAATTTTTGGTCAAACATTTCTTCAATTTCATGAAAAATTTATACAAGTATTCAGACTCTTATGATAGACTGTTTATGCTTTCTACGTGTGTTTTTTCCTTTAGTAAATAGTTAAAAGAGTATGCATTAATGAAGAGAATTTGGTTTATTCAATGAAACTGTTTTTGAGGGGTTACTAATTTCGCAGTTTTGAAACAATATTTATCATAAATATTACTACTAATAATAATATTACATAATGAATCATCTGTTATTATTAAAATATGCACATATCTGTAATAAAGTACACTATAATTGTTATAGTATGCAGTTTATTACTTATCATTTTATACACGCCATTTCATCTCCCCTCTCCCTCTTAAATCCTTGTCTGCTCTTTTCATGGCACATTATGTAGTAGTTCGAAAGTACTGTCATATAAGTTCCATCATAATTCCATCATAATCGAATAATTACTTTCGACCTTGAAAAGCATTTGTTTACGATCATCAGTAGGGGTTCTTTCGTTTTTTCCATATGAACTACAATTTAGTAAATTCATATATACTTGTTCGTAACAAGAATCACATTTTTGCTTCTGCACGCTATAAAATTGATTGTATAACTGCCGCATGTATATATATATGAGCAAACTTGTATTTGTTACCGCTCACTAATATAATTAAAAGTGCTATGTTAATTTCATATGGATATCTTTACATCGTTTAGAATGTTATTTCAAGTGTCAAATAATATATTATTAACATTCTTGAATAAGGAATCTCTTTATTTACGTTTGAAGATCGCATACCTTAGCGATGGAAGCTCTAGTTCTTCGTCTTCTGTTCTAATCGATTTCCTGCACGAGTGCATTTCCCGCCAACCACCTGTTGACTGCTGAGAAAGCTTTGAAGCTTCGCAGTTGTCTTGAAAGCCCACGTCAAAGCTGCAATCAAATAATTGCCAGCAGATATATATATATTTATTTATTTTTATGTTTTTGTGATACAAAACGTGAGAAGAAAATGTTAGCGAGGGAAGCAGGCATCGTCACGCTTTAAATAAAAGTGTTTGCCCCCTCTTGGAAAAGGAGTAGACAAAGGTTTTTCTTTTTCTTCATCTCTTGTGACGAGGGCTGCGCTTTTAGAGAAAATTCTTTTGCCGAGAAATTTTTATTGTTTAAAAAAGAATAATCTTTAGCAATTTTCATATTTCATAAATATTCGTAGAATATTTGTTTAAAAAATGTTGGCTCTTTTCTGCATATGTGTCTACGCTAGCGAATATTTATTTCGTTACATAATATTTGTAAAGGTATTTTTATTTTGCTTCAAAATACTTTAACAGCATTGATAAAATTTATTTCAAAGAAGCGGCCTTAATATTTCTGAAATTTAATTTTTTTGATGATAATGGTTGTTCTTTTTTTTTTTTTAAATGATGATGAATATACCTGTGACAAATATATGAAATTTAAATTTTTTCGAGAGGAATAAAATTTTTAGATAAAAAGTTTTGCTTTTACGTACCTTTCAAATAAGCTAAATTAGTAAAATTTCATAAGATACGTTCTTTTGAAATTATACATTTTAAGTGGGAAAACTTCCTGTTCATGAAGCATGTGTGTGCATCTTCTGAGTTTTGTCCTGTAACCTTAAAAGTCAAACTTCTTAGAAAAGAAAACTTTTTAAGCCATAACCGGGTTTTATTGTATCCACGCAATATGTTTGGATTTTATACATATAAAAACTTCGGTTGTCCAATCCAAAACTCTGGTTGTCTGTTGAATGCATTTCGATATTTTGTAAATAATCTAGTGTGCGCAAGCATTTATCTAGCCTAAAATTAGAATTTGCTTAATCCTTGCCTTTGTAGACACTGCCGGTGAGCTCCACTATGCCAAACAGGTATGCAAATCAACCATCTTTACGAAACTATAAGACATACGTAATGTAAAAAGGTAGCATTTAAATTTCTGAAATATAACGCATTAAAATTTTAATTTAACTCGTGTTAAGTTAAAAATTAGCGTTCAGTAAAATTATCAAAAAAAAAAAAAAAAGATAAGTTCCTAAGAATTTCGATTTGGAATCATTAGTGTCAAGAAAAATATGTAATTACAGCTTCGCCAAAAAGTCTTACAATAAGTATGCATTTCCAATATTCGAACACATTTAAAGAAAACCGTATGAATCCAAATATTATAAATAATGCATTGCCAACATTCTGAAGACAATTTCATCAGGACTTTGCGGAATTAAAATATTGATATTCCTTCAGCAGTGTTTCCAAGCAATTTAGCTTCACCACTCACATGCATATAAATACGCTTTACCGCGATCTATATGATTATAGATGCTCTGGAATAAAAAGAAGGGGAAAAGGTTAATGAAGTAATAATAAATAAAATATGCAATTATTTAATTATTGATGGTTAAGCTCAATTCATTAATTACAGACATAATTATTCAATAAGAAACATAATGCTTTAAAACTTAACCACAAAATTTTTGCCAATATTTCAAAAGTGTTATAATTAACACAATAACCTGAATAACCTTCCGTAATTAAATTTTTTTTAAATTCTTAAGATTTGTTCAGTAATGCAATAGAACACTTAAAAGACAATTTATAAGAGTATAAAGTTTCAGTTTGGGATATTTTTTATAACAACAGCATTACATGCTCAAAATTGAATGGAAGTAATTAGCAATTTCCATTTCATGATCATTTTAATACTACCAGTTATGAATTTGTCATATATATATATATATATCCGCTGTTTATTAAACTCATCAAAAATATAGCGGCAGTTTTACAATATTCACAGAACAATTCAAAAACTGTTGTTGAAGAATATAAAACAAACATAGGTAGAATAGTTATTTGTAAGAGATAAAATTTATCAATAATGTGATCATAAAAATAATTTTTATAAAAAATATAAATGTATTCCAAAATTAAATAGTTTAATTTTAGAATTAAATTTAATTACTATTTTAGGATTAATTATTGAGCTAGATGTTAGTTATTGATTGAATTTGAAAAGTTTCAAACTAATGTCACAAACTGCAATACACAACTAACCGTGTATTAAATTCAAACAATTCATAATTTAAATATGTTGAAATTATTTTAATAAGCGACGGTACTGTAATTGTGTGCGCGTAAATTCAAGGCTAAATAATGAAGAAATATTAACTAGAATTATTATAAATTCCAGACAGTAAAATAAAGGAAACAATGTCCACAGTTAGTATTTATGGAAGAGCAGAAACTTATTATTATTATTTACCACACCGCGAAACAAAGAGTTTCATTCTGCGAATTTTATAATGAACGCCCGTGCTACTCTGAATTAGAAATGGATTGAGATCTGTCATATATTGGCAATGGATTTTTCACTTATTGAATTATTTACAACAGAGTGAAATCCTGAATACGCATAAACAGTTTGCAGAGCCTGGATCTAGAAATATATTTGAAAATTCTCCCGATGGCAGAGAGCGTTTTTTTAGGCCAATGAGGATTTGTTTCACCGCTAAGCATGATTTGTGGTTACCACGTATTTGATTAATTAACTTTTATTATCCTCTAGACTGCGAATGCGAAGATTTGGATGAATAGAAACTGAGCACTTGTCACGTTTCAAGGAAACGGAAGTGAAGACTTCTTGGCAAATGCAAGTCTTGCTTCGTGCTTTGTAAGCACTGATGAAGTAAAGGCAAGCGATGTTTTAAAATCCTTTTTTAAGAAACATAAATTTCTTTATCCTTATCAACTAATTAAAAAGTATAGGCAAATTTCGGGGGATTCTAGACAAAATTTTTCGTTTGAAGTTTCATTTTTGTTCTGTAGCGCAACAAGACATTTAAAAAATCACATGAGTTCGTAGGAGAAAGATAAAGCATAAACTGAATTCAGTTATTTAATTTAGGCAAAGCACGCAAGGACTATCTGACCATGCTCTGCTGCGATTTTGACTAAGGATTTTGCAAACCTCTTTTCCTACAGTCATCTTCGCAAAAGGACTTAGGGCTCGACAGCTTTTAAGTGCCTTCCTCCGCAAGGCGACAGTAGTCAAAAGCAAACGTGACTTACCCAGAATCTGTACCCGGATCCGGTGAAGTGGAAATCAGTCAGCTTGCGCGTACCAGTAAATAATCTAGGGCAGTGATATGAGGGAAAGTAGAAAATAGGCATCCAGTGTGAGAATCTACATCTTTCTCAGGGGGAAAGGAGAATTGAAAATGTTCAGGATTATGTTATTGGCACAAATTTAAACTAGCAAAATTCCTTGATTTCTCCACAGAGCTGCATACTACCGCTTTATTGTCATTGGTTATTAAAAGTTTCAGTATGAATACTATTGATGAAACGATTTAATTTTCATTTTTGTTTTTATGTATGTAAGTATGTAATAATGCATATAATATACAAATCATGAGATCACAACTTTTCATTAACATATAATGTTAGTAATACGTATTCCATAGACTTTGAATCATATAAGAAAACACTGTTGTTGGTTCTGGTAGATAAACGGTTTATCTTGAAGATCGAGGATTTAAGCTGCGCATTACAATGTTATGAATAAATTTTCTCTTCGTTATGATTTAACTAAGGGTATTTTCTTCGTGTAGTTTACTTTATCGCAAGAATGCTGTATAAAATACATGTAACATACAAATAACAATTTAAT